AAGTGTTGATTTATTCCTAGCATTTTATTGATTATTGTTTGGTTGTCTTAGGTGTCTTTTTGTTCCTTGCTTTCTGATTTACTGTTTGTTTTCTGTGTTTGTTGGTTCCTTAGGTGGTAGATAGGCTTTTTGTTTGTTTGTTTTCTCTTCATGAATGCCATTTTTATTATACTAGTGGGTTTTGATTTTTCTTGGGTTTTTATGGCAGTGGTAGTTATTTTTAAGGAACCAAACCCAGTGCTCCCTTGAGAATTTCTTGTAAGGGTGGTCGTGTGGTGGTGAACTCCCACAGTTTTTGTTTGTCTGAGAAATATACTACTTGCCCTTCATTTTGGAAGGATAGCCTTTCAGGGTAGAGTATTCTTGGCTGGCAATCTCTTACAGAGACTTTCAGAGTAGCCAACTAGATGTCAGAAAGTTGTATTTTGGCTTAATGATTAGATTACTTACTTAGGGGTAGAAGCTTATAATAAATATGGTAAAGAAAGGCATTTTCTGTGTCTGCTTGACCTGGAAGGTCCTAACCTTTATAAATACTTTATCTAGCTTTTTTCCTGGCTTTGGGTGGGATAGTAACTAATCAAGTAGGTTGGTACATTTAATTTTCTTGTCAATTAGTAATTTAAGCTTTTTATTTGGTCTTCTATGAACAGCCTTTTAAGAGAAACTACAACATTTTGAAGCTTCCGGGTGGTCCTGATTCAGTTGCCCTTGTTTGGGATGCACTTTAGTCCCTCCAAGACCTAGAACCATTTCCCGAAACAGCAGAAAGACTTAAATAATTAAAGCTGGCAAAAGTTCAGCTAGCTGAAAATGGGGTGCAACCCACACCTGTCCAGCCATATTACACTAGCCACAAATGGGGTACAGCCCGTATTTCTGTCTGGCCTTATTCCTGGAACTCCCTCAACCTTTCCGTTGGTTGCCTGCACACGCAGGCCATATAAACTGCGTGCCCCTGACAAATGGAAAGTCAAGCCAATTTCTCAGGACACAGAGCCATACAAACAGGAAAGCATGTAGCTGTTCATGGGAGGGAAAGTTCCACATAATGACCATCATAATTCTGAATTATTTTTAGTAAGATCTTGTCAATTTTGTAAATATTTGCAGCTTCCGGGACCATAATTCTTACATATGAAAAAGGCAGGGGTGCCGGAAGGCAGAGTACTCAGATCTTTAGAAATTAGGATCCCACTTTTATATGTCACATCTTGATTTTCTCAGAGCCAAGATGGCTTCAGCTCTAAGGTCTCCTTAACCAACTTATCCAATGATTTTTCCAGTTTCTGTCTGACCCAGTCAGACACCTGAAGCCTTCTTTACCTGAGTGCACAGTATAAAAAGGAAGCCACATACCTGTGAATTCCAAAAGCCAGAGTTCACTACCCCTGCAACAAAAGCCCCTTACTGCAACTGCTGTCAGTTACCTTTAAAACTGCAGCCCTTTTTGCCAATGATTTTTCAGCCACTGCAAACCCAGAGGTCATGTGTCCTGCCACACCACAAACTAACCCTTGATATCTCAAGGTCAAATGCTCTCTCAAAACACAAACTAACCCATAGTATCCCAAAAAGCCAGAGATCAGGGAGCTCAAATGCAAAGAGAGCAGAGCTTGGACCTGAGAGGGGCTTAAAATTCTCAGGACTCCATGAGGAAGACAGTGGTCACTAAAAGGGAGGGGCTTAACACACTTGGGTGGGAGGGGGGAGAGGGAGGAGGGAGGGAGGTTTCGGTGATGGGACATAATAATCAACTACATTGTATATTGACAAAATAAAAATTCAAAAAAAAAATTCAAAAAAAAAAAAGGGGAGGGGCTTAGCGGTGCCTTCTGCATTCTTCAGGGGGTCTCAGGGGTCATCGATAGTCTCCTTCAGGTCCCTTCATTGTTCTCCAGACCTGTCAAAGAACAAAATTATAACAAATTTAGTTGAAGATCTCAATTGGCTTTATTGCAATTCTAGAATCGGGCAACACATTATTCCATAAAATAGAATAAGTGTTCTCTAAATTTCCTATTTTAGATGTGGAAAAGCGATCAAAAGCAAACACTCTTGGTCACCAACTGCATGAGGTAAAACTGTTTGTCAGGCTAGCCAGTTAGTTCAGTTGGTTAGAGCACAGCCTTGTAACACCAAGATCATGGGTTTGGATACCCATATGGGCCAGCTGCCAAAAACAGAAAAACTTTTTGTCAAAATCTAATGTAATGAATTAATATTAATTCCCCTATAGGCAGAAGAAGAGTTCAACATTGAGAAAGGTCGTCTCGTGCAAACCCAAAGACTGAAGATTATGGAATATTATGAAAAGAAGGAAAAGCAGATTGAGCAGCAGAAGAAAATGTAAGTAGGTTCAGGTCTCAGTATCAAGTCAAGGAAATTTTCAAAAGTGAGCAAGACAAGGTATGGGATCAGGTCTTAACTCCGCTGCTTATCTGACCTTGGGCAAGTTGTTTAACTTCTCTTTTCTCATTTGTGAAAATAGCCTCACAGGATTATTGAATGATTAAATAAGAATAACTGATATGAAAGTACCACTTGGTGAACACAATAATTATTTCCTTATCTTTGAAAATAAGTTGGAAGAAACCACTAAATGTATCTCAGTGGTTATCTTTGGTCATTGAAAAGAGAAGTGTTTATTGTTTATCAGATCTTTATTACATACATAGGAAGTGTGTATTTCTTTCTCTACACTTCTTGTTTTAATGCTGTAATGATATTATTTTTCTATATCTTTTGCAGTCAAATGTCCAATTTGATGAATCAAGCAAGGCTCAAGGTCCTCAGAGCAAGAGATGACCTTATCACAGTGAGTAATTAACCCTTATTAGTTATAAAATTATAAGATGTTTATTCATTTGCCTATTATAGAGAATCACTAGTTAACACTAGTTGATTCAGGAGTTGATGAGTAACCTTTAGAGAGAAAATATTTGTTTAGCAAATCATTATACTAGGTGTTATGATAAATACAAAAATGAGTAAGAGACAAGCCCTGTCTTCAAGGACCATCTGATCTAAAGGGCATATAACACTCCTTGATATTATCAGAAAGACAAAAGAAAACAAGTGCTGGCAAGGAAGTGGAGAAAAGGGAACACTTACACACTGTTGGTGGGAGTGTAAACTAGTACAGCCGTTATGGAAAACAGTATGGAGGTGCCTCAACAAATTAAAAGTAGAACTACCATATAACCCAGCCATCTCACCAAAGGAAATGAAGTCAGTATGTTGAAGAGAAATCTGCACTCTCATGTTTATTGCAGCACAATTTATAATAGCCAAGATATGGGATCAACCTAAGTGTCCAACAATGGATGAATGGGCAAAAAAAGAAAAAGGCGCACGTGCACACACGCACGCACACGCGCACACACACACACACACACACTATGGAATACTATTTGGTCATGAAAAAGAATGAAATCCTGTCATTTACGGCAGTGTGGATGGACTTGGAGGACGTTATGTTAAGTGAGGTAAGCCAGGCACAGAAAGACAAATACCACGTGATGTCACTCATGTGGAATCTTTAAAAAGAAAAAAAAGAAAAGTTGATACTATAGAAACAGTAGAACAGTGATTACCAGACACTGGGGAGAGGAGGGGAGAAGGGAAAACAGGGAGAGGTTGGTCGACATGTACACAATTAGAATTAGATAGGAGGAATAAGTTCTGGTGTTCTATTGCACAGTTGGGTGACTATGGTCAACAGTTTTGTATATTACAAAATAGTAGAGGTGAGGCTTTTGAATGTTTTCACCACAAAGAAATGTTTAATGCATGAGGTGATGTTTACATTAACTACCCTGACCCAGTTGTTATACAGCATATGTATGTGTCAAAACATCACATTGTACCCCATACACAGGTTCAATTACAATGTGTCAATTAAAATTAATTTTTTAAAAAGACTCTCCTGAATCACAGAGCTCACTGTGGGTGGCTTGTGTAATATATGAGGGTAATAGGGTCCAGTGAGGTTGGGAAGGTAGGATGGGGTTAATTTAGGGGCCATGAGTGTGACGATAAAGAGTTTCACTTGTTTTCAATAGAAAGCTATTGAAGCTTTTGTTTTATTTTGTGGAGGATATCATAAATAGGATTCATGGTATCAGTGTATAGACTAAATATAATAGAGAAGAGGTTAGAAAAAAAATCATCTGGAAAGTGTTGTAGTCATCCAAGGAAGAGGGCAGGAACCTACAGAAACATACCACTTAGTTGAGGAATTCTAGTGGTATTTGAATTTTCTTCAGGAACCAAACAGGAATGTCTGCTGTTTACAGTGTTACTCATTGTTACTGTGGAGGCCCTAGATTCCTTATGAAATGGAAAAATAAGATTTATATAAATATTGGGAGGGAAGAAACAAAATTATTTTTACATCTCAGCTTTTTTTCCCTCTCTCATATATTTAACACTTTAGTAACATCGCACACAGTGATTTTCAAATTTTGAGGGGGAAGATAGAAAGTGCAGCATATAGAATGAGCACGTTTTACTTTATTTTTTTGGTGGCTGGCCGGTACAGGGGTTGAACCCCGGACCTTGATGTTATCAGCACCATGCTCTAACCAACTGAGCTAACTGGCCAGCCCATTTTATAATAGGAAAATATTCAGTTTGGGATAGTTTTTTTTAAATACAGTTACCTATCATTTTCTTTAAGAGATAGGCTAGAGAAAAAGGATTACATTTCATAATTTTGACAAACAAAGCAACAGTTCAGGTCATATCATATGTCTTCTCCAAGTTTAGTAGGCCCCACAGTAGCCAGTTTGTCTGCTGACCTCTAAAATTGTCACAAACAGAGCTCCTTTTTCAATCCTAATTTGATCTGTTAGTTTTCAGTCTTCTGTTTTCATTTCACAATTTAGCTGGGTTTCCTTGAGGCAGTAAGCTATTTGGACTTCAAAATACACATTGTGCTAGGCCCTGTAGGATCTGAAACCTAACTCAGTCTGGACAAGAGAATATACTATACTACAACCTTTTTTAAGAATGACCTTCAAGAATTATTCATGAGCTAGGAGAAAGAATGAAGAGAGCAGCATGGGTAAAAAACAGGCCTGGATTTGACACATTCCGGAAATGGAAGTAGCTAGGAGACTGGGGAGTGTTGAAAGAGAAGGCTGGATAGAGACCTCAGGGTCCAATTAGAAGGGCCTTGAGGGCTGGCCCTGTGGCTCACTCGGGAGAGTGCGGCGCTGGTAGCACCGAGGCTGCAGGTTCGGATCCTATATAGGGATGGCCGGTGCGCTCACTGGCTGAGCACGGTGCAGACAACACTGAGCTGAGGGTTGCGATCCCCTTACCAGTCAAAAAAAAAAGGGGGTGGGCCTTGAATGCCTGCTGAGGAATATGGAATTTATCCTTTTGCCTAATTCTCAAACTTTAATGGATGTAAAAATCAGCTGGGGGGACCTTGTTAAAAATGCAGTCTCCCAGCCTATTTCCAGAGACTTATATTCTAGTCAGGAATCAGCATTTAGAAAAGCAGCTCCCAGTAATCTTGGTGCAGATGGTCTGAGAACCAACCGTACTTTGAGAAATAGTGCTTTATACTTAGATTTGCTAAAGAGAAAGACAACTGGCAACAGTGGGGAGTGGAACTAGGAGGATCCAGGGTAGCAGCCAAAGACATGAAGAGAAGGCAAGAGCCTTATTTCAAAGAGAGTAAAAACACAGGATCTTTAGGACTTACCAGTGTGGTGAGGGAATGGAAACGAGTCAAGATGATTCAAGGGTTTGTGGGCCACGCAGCTGAATAGGAAGCTGAAGATTAGGAATACGGGAAAGGAGGAGCAGGTGAGGAATGATGGAAAACGTTTTGAGTTTGAGTTGCCTTAGAATTCCAAATGAACAGATGAGAGTTGAGCTTAGGAGAGAGGTTGGGACTTACACATACATAGCATGGAGGTCCCAGGTGGAGCTGTGGATACAGATGAGGTCCCCAAGGTTGTAGAATGAGAGAAGGTGGTCAAGCAAACAAACTGAGAAGCATCAGATTTAGTAGGCAAGAAAATAGATTGCCAAGGAAACATGGGGGGAAGCAGTCATGTTGGACAGGAGTAAAGAGAAGCTAGGGGAACAGAAACTTGAACAAAACGGTATCGAATGTAATGTCAAATGCTTCAGAGAATCAAAGTAGGAAGAGCGTGGCAATCCCTGGATTTGTCAATCAAGTTATCATTTCTAACTTTTTTTTTTTTTTTTTTTTTTTTTTTTTTTTTTTTTTTTTTTCCCGG